AAATCTGTTCCTGAAATCCACCGAGTGTCGTCGGGATCACATGCTTTGAATGTAACTTTGTACTGTCGAGGCTTACTGTCGTACTTGCGATCCGTGATGACGCGGTCAACCTCCTGATGACCATCCATAGATGGAGGATCTTGCGATCTTCGGCTTGGGATGTCGTCGCTCTTTGCTCGTGTATATGTTGCCAGCTTCGAGGCGTGAAAGACAGGATGGACCGTCAGATGCGGGGGAATGTTGATCACAAATGAGAGGCCATCGGGCTCATTGCCTCCGGCTGGTGTTACGGGCCATGGTCCAAACCACTTGGGAARCAGTTTGCGTGAAACATCCTGTTCGAGTGCAAACTCTTCCGCGSAGACCCACACCAGATCACCGGCGCGGATGGGACATGGCATGCGATGCCTGTTGGCTTGCAGCTGCATGCGGACTTAAGCCTTTTGCATGTTCGTGCGGACTTGAGTCAACAATTCCTTGTACTTCYGAACGGAAGCGGGGGAGCAAGCAGTGTCTATGTCGGTTGTTCATGGGTGGAGAAGATCAACGAAGATACGGCCTTTCSGACCACCATGGTGCACCTCGAATGAAKTTACGTCGATCACCCAATGCAACGAAGTGTTGAAGGCGAACTCGATGTCGGGGAGGCGATCAAYCCAATSCTTTTGATCMAAGCCGATGAGCGTATGAAACATCATTTGAGCCATTTGATGTGCCCGYTCCGTTTGCCCGCCCGTTAGTGGATGCCGAGCCGAACTTGGTTTCATCTTCGTGCCAGATTCTTGCATGAAAGAAGTCCAAAATGCCGACATGAAGCGAGTGTCGCGGTCACTACCGATGTCTTTCGGCACACCATGGCTAGAAATCCAGCTGKTGGGTAGGAGGCGCGCAAGTTCGGGAGCWGTGGYGTAGTACTTGCAAGGAAGAAATCGTGGATGCTTACTCAAACGGTCAACGACCGTGAGGATGYCGTCGTGCCTGAGCCGGTTGCGGGGAAACGGACCAGTGACGTCCATGGCAATGGAGAGACCGGGTTCCTGTGGGATAGGCATCGGGTGCAAGTCGCCATAGGGATTGCGGTTGTGGGGCTTGCTTCGT